AAGGCCATTTAAAAGAAATATTCAGTATGTTCTTTACCTTGTAATCATTTTTTAGCACATTGAAGCCTTTTGTCTGTATTTAATTGTACTTATTGGCAATTTAGATTTCTCTCTGTTGTTAAACCCATATTTCTATACTCAGAGCCTATGATGAATGCAGCACCGATATTGAAAATTGGTGGCAAGTTGAACATTTAAGACTGACCATCAATGCTTGTATGTTTTGGACTCTCATATTTACTATTACAATATGATTTCACTTAACTAACATAAAGAATTTTACCTTTTGGGGATGTTATGACGTATGCCAAAAAACTTGAGGCTGAATGTTCCAGTGTTTTCTGCATTTGAGCACTGTCTTAATATCAATACTTTCTAGGTTAAAACTACAAAAACATGATATACAACTCTCTCTCCTTATCAAGAATTTTTGTTGTTTTCATGTATGAATCTCCATGTCCTTAACTATGATGATGATTATGATATTTCCTCCCTTCATTGCTTGCAGGTAATTTTGGAGAAGTTGTAAGTGTGCAGCTGGCAATGGACCGCGCGGTAAGTTCATACATGTCACATCATGATGTTGTAATGAATTATAATTTTTGGTTCTTTAACAGTTCTTATTTGCAGCTTAATCTTCCAAGAGGATATGGATATGTGGAGTTCAAGACAAGAGCAGATGCTGAAAAGGCCTTACTATACATGGATGGTGTAGGTTTCTATATGTTATAGGAGAAGAATTGCTCGCAGTATTTAGACTATAATGTATTTCCAAAATGATCTTATTGGTTTCTTTAATGCAGGCCCAGATAGACGGCAATGTTGTACAAGCAAAGTTTACATTATCTCCTACACAGAAAGTTTCTCCACCCCCAAAGCGTGTTGCTTCTGCTCCAAAGAAAGATACTCCAAAAGCTGATAATGCCAATGCTGATATTGAAAAGGATGGACCAAAGCATCCGAGGGAATGTATGCCCTTCTAGTATAACCTTTGTTTGATTTATGCTCTGTTTTTGTATTTACTAATAATCCAATTTATTTATTTATCTATTTAATTATTCCAGCCTCTCCTCCTCGGAAACCCTTGGCATCACCACGAAGGAGATCTCCTGTAGCTCGAAGAGGTGGATCTCCTCCTCGCCGACGTGCAGACTCTCCTGTTCGTCGCAGAGTTGAATCACCTTATCGCCGTGGTGAGACACCTCCCAGGCGCCGACCAGCGTCTCCTACCAGAGGTCGTTCTCCATCCTCTCCACCAAGGCGGCTTAGATCTCCTGCAAGGTTTGTTCTTTTGATGTGATTGCAATAAATAAGTGCTTTTGAAAGTATTTTGAACAATCATAATCTTTGCAGAATCTCTCCTAGAAGGATTCAGGGTAGCCCTGTTCGAAGACGATCTCCTCCTCCAAGGCGCCGGTAATTATTAGTTTCATTCATAATTTTCATCACATGTTGCACATGTCAAGCAGATTTTGAGAGTTTATTTTGTCATAGAAAAGAACTTTGGAAGCCTATATTTTTAATACCAGAAATCTTCCTAATAAAACTGGTGGACTCACTGTTTCATTGACATTGAAATCAACCATCTCATAAATATGTCTAGTGGAAATAAATGAGGCAGTTACTTGGTCAATGGGATTTATATACTTAAATTGATATTTGTACTTTGCGTATTCTGCATGTTCTCCATAACTTATAATAACCTTTCAAGGAGGAAAATGTTATTATTGACTCTGTTAAAAAATTTATTGAGCATGTATCATTCACATAATTTAGTTGTAATTTCTAATTGTTTTTATTTTTTTCAGTTCACCTCCCAGGCGAGCCCGTAGTCCTCTCAGAAGGTCTCCAATTCGTAGGCGCAGCCGCTCTCCAGTTCGTAGACGCAGCCGTTCTCCAATTCGTAGGCCTGTTCGCTCTCGTTCAAGATCAATATCACCACGGAGGTAAGCTTGAGTTCTGGAATCTCTTTTTGGTGGTGCATTTTTGGTTTTATTAAATTGTAACCTTTTTTTTATTGATTTCTTTTCCTATTTTTTATGCAAAATATGCCATTTGCTTCTGATGGTTTAAGCAAATGGTTGTTTTGATTAACTTTTTTAGACTAAAGTAGAGAAGTGTTTGCCTCTGTGTTTGTATCTGTTTTCCCACACCTGTTGGTCCTATGGGTTGATATTAGTTTTGGCCATATCTATTTCAACTGTAGGATATCACTTTTCCATGGATGTTTGTCTTTTCATTTGTTGTTTGTAGTTTGTTTACAGAATATAACTTATAGAAGGATCAATATCTGGAGATCATTGAATTTTTTGCTGGTTAATATCTTGCATTTCCTTTTACATTTTCTGTGTAAATCAGAGGTGGTCGTCCTCCAGCTGCAAGACATGGGAGGTCATCATCATATTCTAGGTCCCCTAGTCCACGCAAGGTTTGTGTTTGCCATTTCTTGTTTCAAGGAAAGCCTTATTTTCTAGGTATCTAACTTCTAGCTTCATTACTTCCACTTATAACAGGGAGCCAGAAGGGTATCAAGGAGTCGCAGCCCAAGAAGGTAATATTAATCTGTATTAACATTTTTATTATTCAAGATCTAAATGAATTTGTTGTTTTGAAGAAAAGATACATGTCAGAGCTGAATCCCACCTCCTTGTAAAATTTTAACTGTATTGAAAATTAAAGATCTGTGTTATGTAAAAATTTCTTACACGTGTAAGTTGATCCTAATTTTTTATATATGTAATAGTCTGTTGGCCATTAAAAAAATGATTTCGTTGAAATCGGAGGTAGCATAACTCATGATCATGAATTTTGTATATTTTTATAGTCAAAGAAAATATAAGGGAAAGTTTAGAAAACAACTCCCCCTTCACAATGGAGGAAGACTTTTTCTGAACTAAGGAAAAATTATCCCTAATTGTATTTTTTCTTCTTTTTTTTTTTTTTAATGTTTACATCCATGAGTTATGCCTGTCACCTTTACTTTCAAGAAATTATTTTGTCATATTGTTGTCATATAGTTTTTAATCTTTGCTTTGTATTTAGTGATGATAGTTTGTAAAAGGTGGGGGATTTGTTTCTTATTGCAAGTAATGGGGGAAATAATGGATGTAGGATATGTTTAATCTCTTCTCGCAATCCTTAAATCATGCACAGACTTCAGTCACTTAACAAAATGATCTCTAAACTTAACTTGATTATATTTGTTTATGTGCCAGGCCAATGAGGGGAAGAAGCAGCAGCAACAGCAGCGGGAGTAGTTCACCACCCCGTAAGCCATAGGTTATCCTTCCCAGTGGTTTATTTCTCACTCCCCTCAGTTTCACAAGTCGGTTGTGAATTATGCAATTGCAAACTTGTATTAACTTGATCAGAAATATTCAGTGGAAGTGACATGGCAGACACATTTATTCATTGTTGAGTGCATTCAAACTCCTGGTTTAAATGTTAGCTTTGTTTGTGATTCTATGCGATTTGATCAGAAGCAATTTTAGTTCCTGTTCTTTTTCTTTAAGCTGGCAAGCCATATCCAGGAATGCCGAGGTCTGCTTGTTGGAAGCCGCGGGCTTCCTTACTTGTGTGGGTTTGGTTGCCTTGTTATTTGCCGTTATGTTAACACTATATCAGGATATAGAGACATTGAAGATGTTTTTGATGTTAGTGATCCAATGAGGCCTAACTTTGTTATCTCTTTCCACTTATGAAAATAAATTGCATTTAGTAACCATAAGCATTACAGGGCAGGTTGATTGTAGGTGGAGCATTCATCTTCGACTTACCCTATGTTGATTGATATCGGCTAAATCCAAAAATTATTGATGGATTATAATACTGACACATTGTATAGACAAAAACATAAGTTGTTTATAAATTTTTAATTTAGGTAGAAAATAAATGAACGACTATTATTTTAAGGCTGAATAAATGTTAATTGTTTTTCAAAATGTGGGTTGTATCTTAATGAAAATTTATTTGTTTGAGTATAACAGATGATGAGGGAGACGTTTCATATAGTTTATTTGTTAATTATTGAAATGGTTAAATTGTTGTTCCAATTGACTAAATTAAAAATTATTGACCATAAATAAAATCTTTGGGTTAAAACAACTTTATTGGCAATTAAATGGGTTATGCTGTTTCCTTTACTGTGGGAACTTTTCTTCTCGGTTATACGGACTGGAAGAGGTTTCAACCTATTTTTAGGAAAAATGCCCTCCACCAACAAATTTGGCTTCTTCTTTTTTTTTTTTTTTTTTTCTCTTTTAAACAAATTTACAACAAATCGAATTCAAACTATTGTCCAGAAAAAAGAGATGCATTTTGCGGGTGGCCTAAGCTCACTGGCCGAAGGGTGATGTGCAACAAATTAGGCCATTTAAAGAGTATAATTTCCTTGCCGTTTTTCCTAATCAAACGCAACCAATTTTTTTTATGGAACATAACCGAACACAACCTAAACACCAATGCTACTAGCAAATAGCAATTGCATTTTTGAGAATTATGCGAACTACTAACAATTACAAACATCGAAAAATAGAGTACCTATTAAACAAAAATTATTACAAAAATGCTCTTTTCAGTTCAGATTTGTTGAAAAAAATGCAAGGGCCATGAAAAAAAGGATAAGAATTCAATTAATGAAAAAGAAAAAAAAGAAGAGGGAAATGTTGCCCGTTAAAAACACTTCTTTTTTTTTTTCACTCAATTTGTTTAACTTTAATAGATTTAATTTTTTTTATTAATATATATAAATTTAATTATTCACTTTTTTTAAATGTTATTTAATATTTTTATTTTTATTTTACTTTCGTTTTAAAATATAATTACAACATAAATTAAGTAAGAAGTTATATTTAAGTTGTGGAAATTAAATATAAATATAAAATTTTATAAATAAATTATTATATTTCTATTTTATTAGATAAAAAAACTAAATTTATTAAAAATAAATAAAGAGAGTGGTTTTTACATTCAGTCTTAATTATATTAAAAATGAATTCTCAAATTATTCAATCAATGTTTTTACTTTGCCAAAAAAAAAAAATCGAAACTCATGATATTTTAAATATCAGAATTATTTATAAAATTAAATTATTTAAATACTTTTAATAAAATTTTCCAACATGTCTTTAAGTATATTTACGTATTTTTATCTCAATCCTTTTAGTACTACTTTTTATTTTCTCAAAAGCGCCCTTTTATTTTCCTATTTTTTCTCAAAAAATAAAAAAGGTAATATGTAACTATGTATTACTATTTACAAGGATACAATATTACCTTTTTTTTTTTATGTATCACATAATAAATTATACTATAATATAATAATCTCTCATTATAAAAATCATCATTAATATTAAAATTTGAGTTAAAACTATTTATCTCTTGTGAATTACATGTTTAAATTTTACAAAAATCTTTTCCCTCGTCCTAATTAACTCGTAAATAATAATAATATGTTAAAAAAATAATAATAATCTCCCATCATATATTAACCAAATTTTTTAATTCAGAATTATAAACTAGTTGAGACACAGCTAGGCGAGATCCAATATTACATTACAGTGTCAAATTTGAAAAATCGAGGGCACTGGGATTCCTGTAAAATTGAAATTCTGTAATCCTAGTTTTTCTTTTTATTTTTATTTTTTAACTGAAACAACACTGTCTCCCGACATAACTCTCGTCTTTCTGGCGCTGTCTCTCGACCCTGAAAATTCGCCGGCAGCTGCACGAACAAGGTCTCCATCTTTCTACCTCTTTCACTTTTATTTCTCGAATTAGGGTTCTTAGCAACTGTGTAATCCGTTCATTACATTCACCCGTCATCTTCAATTTCAGTTTTGAAGTTTGCTACTGTAACGGCTTAGGTTATGATATTTGATTTTGGATTATGGGTGTCACCATTTTTAGGTTTTGGTTGATTCGGTGCTAGAAAAAAAATGTCAAATTTTAAAAATTTAAGTTTTTGCAGATCTCTCTGCTGTCTGTTATGTATGGTCTGAGAACACTCCTGAAGCTTGTAAATTGCTGAATCTCAAGAATTGAGCTGGGTTTATTGGATTATGGGTGTCGCCATTTTTAATATATGAGCACTTTTTTTTCTCTTTTTGGTAGTGAATATCTTTCCACTTATATTTATGAGGTTTTCCTCATTACCATATCATCTGTTGATGGATGTGCTGCATTCTGTTTGAAAATACGTTGAGAGTCCAAATTTATGAAATTTGATGCTGTTTACTGCTACAGAAAAGCAAGCATGATACCCATCAAAATTCAAAAACGTTAGCCCCCAAACTGATTGATGAAAGGAGCAACTAAGTGGCAGATTCACTTAAGTTGCAATTTTTTCAACGTTCTGTTTTGGTTTTGATGAGGATATGAATACAATACTGACACCTTTTGTTTTTATCTTGGGCAAGGTTCTCTCTGTGCTATCAACAGATTCTCTGTAACGAATTTTAAACTTAGAGAAAGAATTTCATGGCAGGCAATGGCCTGTCATCCTTGGGCCGTGTAAAACTTGCTGATCTAGCACCTTCAGAAGGCCTTCCTTCAGATGCATACAAGATATCAGTCTCTACATTGTCACACTCACTTGCTCAGTATTCAGCTGTCATCATTCAATTCCCAGCAAGTGATGGAGCTCTCTTAAGATCTGGTTTAGATTCTGCTCGTCTCTACTTCCATCAAAGAGCTTCATATCCAGCAGCAGATATGATTCACACGAATGATTCTCGTGAGTGGTGCAAGACTTCTGGTTACTTTGCTGATCCTCAATTATGGCAGGAAATTTATGATTACAGACCTGGCCTGACCCCTATGGAACCCAGCAATGGAATGGAATTTCATCCAGCAGGTTTGCCTGACATATTTTCTCTGCTTGGAAATGCAGCTAGGGTTATACTGGATGCCATCAGCTTCTATTTGAACCTGCGCAGTTCTCCATTCACTGAAATACTGGATAATGTTCCCCTGAGAAGCAGGGAGATATCATCTTCTGCATTGTCTGTATGCTGTTATGCAAGGCCATCTTTTCAGGGAGCACATCACCATAATTTAACAACACAAGAGGATGGTCAGTTGGTTATGTATCCTGAGCAGGAGCACCAAGTTGATAAGAGTTTGATATCTTTGGTTAAGTCAGACAAAGCCGGCTTACTTGTAAGAGATCTGCATGGGAGATGGGTCCTTGTTGATGAGCATCTTGGTCCTCAAGAAGTTGTTGTTTATCCTGGACTTGCACTCTATCAAGCAACTGCAGGCTATATCATTCCTGCACTGCACAGAACAGAGATTAATAACATGCAGGATAACATGTATGGACGGTGCTCTCTGGCTTTCAAACTTATGCCAAAATCTATGACCAGTCTCAGCTGCTCAGAGATGAGAGCAGCTGGTCATGGGGTTGAAGCTCAGTTCCAGCTTCCAATACCAGTGGATGACTTCATGCAGAGATCGCACCCAACGGAGCAGCTACTCAACAGGAACACTTTCCAGAATTATAATTTCCCAACACCCCAAGATGGTAGGCAACATATTTTGACTAGATACATCATATATTATGTTCTTCTGCATGTACTTGTTTTAATCCCAAAAGAAAGAAAGAAAGAACATAAAGATGGATATAAATCTTGACTTAGAGCTCTTACTTTTGTCTTAGTCTAGAGCACAAATTGATTGATTTTGAGAACTTAGTTCTTTAGTTCTTATGTTGTTATTTTCTCAAAATGTTTGCTAGCTTCATCATGTCAATGTTTTCTAATTTTGTCATTCCTTAATTACCATGCTTTATCTGTAATATATCTTGAGTATCCGATCCATAGATCCTAAACTGCTTTTCCTTAAAGAGGCTTTGTATACTAAATGTGTAATAGATCTGTCTTTGGTATGTTCAGCCTGGCCTGCTATTTGTTTCCCTTGAACATTGCAGTTTCTTGTGAATGAAATACTTATAGAAATATCTTTTCAATATGATTCTTGATTGGTTCAGTCCAAATGAAGACGATAAATCTGGTTTTGGCTTATGTATTTACCATGCTGCAGTTAGATTCTTGTTAAATTAATCTCTAGGAAGAAAAGGGGGGTTTCAATGGATTTATCTTTTTATTTTCTTCTTTTTTCCCCTCGTTTATTTTATGTTGTTGAAAGATCTTGATGTTGATTGCCGTTGTTCTTTTCTGTTCAAGTAGCCTTAGTGAAGTTTTTAACAGCAGGTCCTTGGATCGATGAAATGCTGGTACAGGATCTATGAAACCTTTAATGAGGAGGAAGAAGAATAATTCGAGATGCAAACCTCTGCCACCTTCCAAGAGATTACGTCTTGAGGCACAGAGACTGCTTAAGGAGAGGGTTCAGGAAATTGCAGATAAGAAGGGCATCAAACTAAGGTTCTGTAATCTGAAGGAGTGTGAGAATCATATTCATTCCTTAGATAGCCCATGTGCCACTATAAGAATGGAGATTGGGTGGCCACATGGAGTGCCGTTTGTTCATCCACATGATCTACCTAATAAGTCAAAGATAGCTTTCCTTGAAGCATATGAACCTGGTTGGACAGCATCCCATGATATGGAGTCAAGTCTAAGTGAACATGTACAGGCTGGTCAACAGTCAGCAAATTGCAACTGTAAATCTCTTGTTCAAGCTCTATAATTACCACACATCTAGTTTTCTGGTTTTTCTGTTTTTGCACATCATCTACACACACCTCACCCTTATAGCATGAATGATTTACTGGCTTTCCACATATTTTGAATGAGCTGCTTAACATCATGTTGATTGATTTTGAAATCCCAATGGTTATTATTTTGGTAGCAATGTTGAGGGTACTGAGTTTTGCAGTTTGTTGTGTGTTAAATAGATCATTCAATTCATGTAAAGTACTGTTTACTTTTCTACTTCCTAGCTTTGATTATTCTGATACTACTAGTTCTCTGTCAATGCAAAGCATGCAAGAATTTAGTGTCTGTAGATCTTTCTCAGTGAAGAAAGAAGCTATGGTTGTTTGAAAGTTAAATATGGTCATTAGAATCATCTCTTTCACCTTCCACCCCTCCCAACCTCCACCCCACCCCCCTCCTTTTTTTACTCTATTATCTTTCCTTCCTTACTTTGAACAAATTGAAATCGTACTGATCTTTTTAATTGCTTGGTCCTTTGCTTTTATTGCTGCTAAAAACTGAATGACTGATTCTTGTTTTCTGTCTCTGCAGGAATCACTCCAATAGAATCCAAATGTGCAATCACCCTTGGTTAGGTTGTACGAGTTTGTTTTGCAGTCAGCTTTAGAACTTCCAGTTTTTGTTATTGAGGCAGCACATAACCGGAACCAAGCTGCCCTGCTGAAGTTGCACTTCACAGCTCAGTTTTCTTGCAGGCAAGAATAACTATGCGTGTTGTCTGTAAACTAGATCATCTGTAAATATTTGGTTTGAAGGAACATTTAGTAGTCTTTCTTTGTTCATCTAAAGTCATCTGTTGAGAGTATCGGACATGGTATGTTCTATGAAGGAATTATATGAATAATTCTAATAAATTTGAGTTTTTGGTTTATATTTGCACCTCTTTGCAGTTGCTGACTCTCTACAAGTTTTAAATTAAGATATCTGCTGTTCATTGATCATCAAAAGTAAAAGTGTCAGTTGCTAATGGGAGAAATGCCTTTTGTGTTGGTTCTTATGAGAAGAAATATTTATTGCTTAATACTGGATAGACCTTTTACGGCTTCGAAATGAGGGCTGCACGGGCAAAACATTATTGCAAGGATGCATCAACCGCTAGAACCATAAAATAAGGGCAATTTTAGATGTTTGATTCTCAAGAATCCATCCTCCGATGAGGAAGCATGAAAACTTATCATGCCTGGCATTGTGACAGCTTCTAGCTGTCTCCTTTACAACTACAAGCCATTTTCTACAACAGAAGTTACAGAACTCAGACTGAGGCTGTTGACATTATGTAGAGTTCCTAAGAGTTACAGAGATGAACCTCACTCCATTCAGAAGTCCTGTGAGTTTGCTTTTGGTTCCTCAGGAAATTATAGATTTATAGCTATCTTCAACTGCGAAATGGCGGTTGGTTTTCAAAAGGCAGCTCAATTTGAGTTGCATTACCATAAAATTCTTCTAAGTTGTAAAAAGCTCTCTGTTGGGGAAGAAATATATGGATAACCACATCACCTGAAATACAGACTCGAATTAGCATTGTTCAAAAATTATCAATTTGGGAATGAGGTATGTCAGCTTATTGAATAAAAAATGTCTGGTATGAAAATGAAAAAGTACAAATATCTGTAATAATGAATTTAATCAATGCATGCCCCTGCAGACTTAAAGAATCATGAAGTATCAGAAGAGAGAAGAAATTATACAAGTAAATATTACATTTACCATTTGCCTATTTGGAAGTTAAGTGAGATATTAAAAGATGAGACAGAAACTTTGGGATCTCTAGTTGCAACACTTCCATTGCGTTTTATGAATTTACAGATTAAATTTCTGGGTTTGCCCATTCAGACTATAGCATGATTCTTTGGAGCATATATTTTCCTCTTTTTTGGCCAACCTTGTAGCATATATTATATTGGTTTGATTTATAGGCAAAATGAAATGGGAAAGAATAAAGAAAGTTTGGTGTAGGTTCATACAATTGAAGCAACTAACAGTAAACAAGTCAATGAAATAAATGTGTAAGATTCCATACCAAAGTCCAAAAGGGTCCATGTGTTTGGCTTTGTATCTCCAGATGGAACTTTTCCATACTTTGTCTCAGCAAGATCTCTTACTTTGGTTCTAAACATGTAATTTAGAAGAAAAAAAAAGGCACCCAATTCAGTAATCAGTGCAGGATAAGACATTAGACAATTTCAATGAATCATACATCAAGTACATACCCAATTGCATCAATTTGGGGGCGAGAAAATGCTGTTGCAATGATGAAAAACCGAGTCCAATACACAAGGGGCTTGACAAAGAGGACCTTTATATCTGCAGCCTTCACCTCACTCACAGCCTTGGCTATTTCCACAGCAACTACAGTGAGAACAGAAAATAACATTGATGCAACTTTTAACCAGGGAAACTTCACTTTTATAATGTTTCAAGGTCTTTTTCTTCTCTAATATCTTAATGAATATAGTTATCAAGCACATTAACTGGCTGATAAAAAAAAAAAAAAAACAATACTACTTAGTAATGGGGCGCATTTTGTAAATTGTCAGCATGAGATGTTTTGCAAGTTACATGTTATTACGTTAATGATAGAAAAGATGGTATGATTATGGTAATAATGGGATTTGGTGTGAATTCAGTATTGTATGAAGAGATCAAAGGTTTGGCAAGAGAATAAATCAAATAAAACAATAAACTGCAGAGTGATCTCTATCTATACAAATTGCAAGTATCATGCTATTAGTTAATAGGAAGAAAACCTTACATGACAAGCTTTCAGCATCATCATCTAACTCGGCAGCTGAAGGCTTCTGGTCATTTCTCCCGAATACCACCTTTCCATACTTTTTAAACAAATCGTCAAACATCTCATCAGTGTCCTTATTTGCATTCTGCAAAAATATCACTCATGCAGTTAACCAAAAGAACAAATAGACTTAAAAGAAAAAATAATAACAAATAAAAGGGCCTTTTTTTTTTTATGAAATAGAATTTTTGAAAGAATAAATATCCTAGCTAATTGAAGGAAGAACCATTAACATACAGTTAACCAAAATAGAAATCCATGGAAAATTAAATCAACAACCTGTATTTTAGAGCACAGATTAAGGCTGCAATAAATGCACCCTTTTAAAGTTAATTTACATCAAAATTCACAAAAGTTGACTTCTATTTTAACACGATTGCCACGTTGATGGTTTTAATTAGCCAATTGATTAAATTAAAGTCAACATCTATATTTTTCATGTAAATTAATTATAAAAAGGTACAATAAATGCACCTAAGGGAACAGGATAGAAAAACCTTTAAAATAAATAAAGAGGCAGGAGATAGTGGTGGTGTTCAACAAGGAAAACTTGATTTCTCACGCTAGTTGGCTCAACATGCGACAAAGGAAAAGGAGGGGAAAAGCTTCTACCTTCTAATTCATGGAATACACGATTAGCAAACCAAACTATCTTTTTCTTCTAACAAGCTTGCTAATTCCTATTTTAGCATAAAATATTTATCATCTTTGATCAGTTAGAATCTGAAAGTTAATAGAAAATTTTGAATAAAAGTCTTTGCTCAAGTTGTCAAAAAGGAGCCATTAGATACAATGAGGACTTTTAACTTTGGTAAATTCTTGTTTTGCCAAATAAATAAATAAAACTTCTAGTTAGTTTTAACAAAAATAGTTGAGTCCTGACAGACAAAAACAGAAAACAAAAAATAACCTTACTCTTTATTAATGCAATAATCCAAAAATAAGAATCCTAATTATTTGAGTCAGAATATTTAGAAGTTATAAAGTTATCAAAAGCGACTGAACTAAGAAGACAGAGTTAGACGAATCATTTCCTCATTCCACCATGTTTAAGGCAATTGTCAGAAGACAGGACAAGGGAAAAAGGTTCCTTATTCAGCCTATGGCTGCAACAAAGTCTCTGTGTTTTTCTCCTCTATTTTCTTAATTCTCAACCCAGCAGCACTAAACCTCCATCATATCTGGAATCCTTATTTTGAATCTTAGGCAGAGAAAATGAGGAGTTGAAAAAAAGCAATGACTATTATACCGTAACAAGAGGAGATTCATTTCAGGTTTGATGTCAGCTCAATTAAGAACACACTATACTGATGGTAAAAAGGTTATCCACATTTGGCATTTGACTACGACTGGCCCTAAACCTGAAAGGAATTAAACTTTAAACTAACATGTAACCAGTTAGAAAGTGCATTGGAAGATGCACAATGACAGACTAAGGGTAGACCTATGCATTGAATTTAATCTTGATTCTTGCCATGAAAGAACATTCAGTTAGAAAATTCTTTCAACCTATCCAGTTTTATCATACAACTAAGAATACTGAATGCACAAAAAAGTTCAAACATCTACAATTTTAATTCAAACAATTCACAAAGTTGTCAAAAAAGACCAAGAATACATAATTCAAATATGTATAATAAGAGAGTTCATTAGTAGAGATACAAATAACTCAAAGAGCCAAAAAGACAATTTCTTTTACTGCCTTATTTTGCTCTCCTTCTCACCCAAACAGAACACGGAGATCAATTTAACAAAGAAATAACAAACTTAATGCATAAAGAAAGACCAAATTATTTCAGTCATTTATCTTTATTAGTGTGGAAGCAAACAAATGAAATGATACTGTACTCCTGCTTTCAGTTTCACATTGAAAGAGCCAAAAAGCTCTCTCTTTTTACAACAATATTTGCTATCCTACTCACCCAAACAGAGAACATGCAAATCGGTTTAACCAAGAAATGACATATTCAATACATAAAAGAAGACCAAATTATTTCAGTAATTTATCTTCGTTAGTGTAGAAGCAAACAGATGAAATGATAGTATCCACCTCTAAACAAAACCGAAGAAAAGTAGGAACTTACAGAGAGGAAGCTATCTTCGGCTTCTTTTCCATAAGCAAGATGCAAAGGAGAGCCTCTTGGGTTGAAATTCAACGCTCTGGTTCTGGGAATTGGCCAGAAGTATCTATTCAGTTGTAAATGCTGCTTATTATTAAGAGATAACCAGACAAAATGTCTTCTGGGTCTTCGAGAGATATTCGATTCAAGACGACCCACGTGCCAAAGCTCGCCGGAAAACTGGGTACCGGCGCCGGTTACAGATAGAATAATTGATTCTGCCATTTCTTGTGCTTCTGATAGAGAAGACACTGAAGATTTTTATTGGGTAACGAAATATCTTTTAACGGCAATTAATAATTTAATATATCAAGGAAATTTGTTTAAATTTGGAAAATGGAAATATAGCTTTTGTATCACTTGTCAAATTTTTTTAAAAGAATTTAACTTAAAGAAAATTGGTTTCCCTTTCTTATACCTTTAATGATCTTTTTATTTTAAATATATATAGAAAAATATATAAATTAATATGAATTTTAGTAATATTAATTTTAATATTAGTGTTAAGTGAATAAATTTAATTAAATAATTAATAAATTAAATATTAACTTTATTTTTTCAATATAAATTTTTTAACAAAAAAATATATTCATTACACCTTAAGCATTTACCCATAAAAGCACAAATTAAAAAAACTCAAAAGGATTTATAAAAAAATTTATCAATATTATCAATTTTTCTTTTAATAGATGTTTCACCTTGGCCCTTAACTTCATCTTCTATTTTTTATTTTACAACTCATTCCCACTTAATTCCATTCATGACTCCATTTGGTTCGTGGCTCCATTTAGGTATCATTTATAATTTTATTTAGTCTTATTTAATGACCGATGTAATCTCTACATTTCCCTTAACCTATATATAACCCTAAAAGTTTGCATAATTTGCATAGGGTGGAATAAATAAAGGGTTTTTTTAATTTGTACTCTTAAGGGTACTCTTTTAGATTTGTAGGTAGATTTGAGTTAGTTCAATTGAAATGGTTCTTGAGGTGGATGAGAATCACGAAAAATCTTTTCGAGTTTGAGTTAATCTTTTAGTGGGTAAGCCTTTATGAAGATCCTCAATTATTAAGATGATTGAAACAAAGACTAAAAAGGTAAGAATTAAGTACGAGCGACTTCTAGAGTTTTGTTATGTTTGTGGTTGTATAGGGTATATTGAAGTAGATTGTGATATTGGTTTTCGTTTGAAGGAAGCTAACTATAAAATAACAAAGTTCTATGGACTATGGCTGAGAATAGAAGTTGATGGTTAGGGTTTGAAGGATTTGGAAAACTTGGAACTTTTAGAAGTAATAAACAAAATAAGTAAAGAATTAGAAGCTAAGACTACTAAGGTAGAAAATAGAAGGTTGATGGTGAGGGAGGAGTCAAGCATGGCACCTTTTCCTTAGGCTTCTCAAAACCAAGTAGAGAAGGACACTGCTAAGGAAAATGGACTCGTAGAACAAATGGTTGAAAACGTAGACCATGCTCTTGAATTCTAGCTTGTAGAGATACTAGTGCAGTAAGTTACAACATCCTCCAATGGAGGAAAATCAATAGCTTTAGGTCATAGAAGTTTGAAAAGAATTGATAGGAACCTTGCATCTGCCCACAGCTTAAAGAAAGAAATAAGGAGGAAAAGGAAAAATATGCAACTAGGAATGGAGGATGAAAGAGCAACAAAGGTATTGCTTAACAACTTAGGGATTACACTTGCAATGTAGGTGGATGTTTTCTTTCATTTATCTACTAAATAAAAGACCACTTAGGCTTGGACAGAGCATTGTGGTGTTAGGAGACACTGCATCGTCAAGTTTTTTGATCTTTCGTGCTAGGTTTGGATAGTAAAATAGATGTGATTGTCAACAGTGACAATAAATCTTCAGAGTAATTTTTCTATGTTGTTACATAGCTCTATTGATACCTCTTTGATGTATACCAGTAATTAAAGGTTCCTAATTCCTTATTGTCCTATTTGTAATGAACACTCAACTCCATATGTTAGTGTCATAACTCCTTCCTAGCTTATTTATATTACCTACATAACTTATATGGTAAGACATGGTTTGTATTGTAATTGTTTCAATTTATTTATACAATTATACTTCTTTTATCAAAAAAATAATACCTTTTTAGTATAAATATATATAAAAAATGTAAAAATTGACATTAATTTTAGTATTGATACCAAATTAATGAAGACATGGTTTGTATTGTAATTGTTTCAATTTATTTATACAATTATACTTCTTTTATCAAAAAAATAATACCTTTTTAGTATAAATATATATATATATAATGTAAAAATTGACATTAATTTTAGTATTGATACCAAATTAATGAATTTAATTAAATAATTGATAAATTAAAAATTAACTGTTATTTTTTAATATAAATTTATGACAAAAATATATGTTTATTACACTTTTAGGCATAGGTTAAAATAACCTAAGAAGAAATTCACTACAAAATCTTTGTTATTTTGCTATTTTCTTCTTTTATTTTATAATAACCAAAAGATCAAGTTAATTAGCTTAATATTTTGGAAATAAAGTGTAATTTTTGTATAAGGATGAAAATCAATATTTATCCATCCTAATTTAGTAGAATTTTTTATACTAAGTTTAGAAAAAAATTAAAAAGTCGATGGGTAATTAATTAGATGCATGCTTCATTTTCATTCTATTGATCTAAATTTTAACAAAATTTTGCTGTACTTGGGAAATTGAAGCTAGATTTTTTTTTTTTGGACAAAGTTGAAGCTAGATTAGAGGCAAGTTTTAAGAGTGTTTTTATTTTTTATTTTTTAATTTAAAATTAACTTTTCAAAATCAAATGAGGAATCTACAAATTTATCATTCAAAATTATAAAAACCACAGTCACATACTTACATAAAATGGAAATAACTAAGAAAAAATGTCAAATTGGGAATTTTATGAAAGTAAATTAGAGTGGAAAAGGTTTTTAAATAAAACAAAAAAGTATGAAAATAATTAGTTGGACCTTTTTTTTTTTTTTGATGGTATAATTAGTTGGACATTTTTGTAAAAATACGCAACATATAATATAACACGTCCTCCAAAACCCTAGCTTCTTCTCTGCTATTGCTGCCGGAGAGAAAAATCGTAGAGAAATCCTCACAGCTCAAAAATGGTGAAGTTCTTGAAACCGAACAAGGCAGTAATCCTCCTGCAAGGTCGCTTCGCTGGCCGGAAGGCGGTGATCGTGCGTTCCTTCGACGATGGCACCAGGGAACGCCCCTACGGCCACTGCCTCGTCGCCGGCATCTCCAAGTACCCAGCCAAGGTCATTCGCAAGGACTCTTCGAAGAAGATTGCTAAGAAGTCTCGCGTCAAGGCGTTTGTCAAGCTGGTGAACTACAGTCACGTTATGCCCACCCGGTACACCCTCGATGTGGACCTCAAGGATGTGGTGACTGCCGATGCGCTGCAGTCGAGGGACAAGAAGGTGACTACGGGGAAAGAGATCAAGAAGAGGTTCGAGGAGAGGTTCAAGACTGGGAAGAACAGGTGGTTCTTCTCCAAGCTCAGGTTTTGAATCTGGTTATGGTTTATGCTATGTTTTCCTTGAATTTATAGATTTTATATGATATCTGGAATTTTGAGCAGTTTTTAGTTTATTAGCATTTCAAGTTTTGTGAACGAGATATATTGATTTAATGATTTACGATTGTGATTCTTGTTTTTATTCGATTTTTCGCATTCTGTTGTGATTCAGAGGTTGAAGGAACTCTCTTTCTTAACTCTACGCAATAGGTTGAAGTTATGCTTGATTTAGTTGAATGCAGATGTGTTTGTTTTGGTTTTCTGTACCTTGAGCAGAGATTTTTACGTTTGGGGATATTGAGATTGCCTTTGGCTGCTCCATTTGAGAATTAATTATACTGCTTCATTATTTTGAAAATGCTGTTGATGAATTGGATGGTGTACAAGTGTGATGATGCTTTTAAGTCTTCATTTTCTGCAGCATCTTGGTCACACACTATATGTCGTTCTGGATGCCATTTGATGAGGGGAAGTTGGATTTTTTTGGTATAATATTTCATAGATTAGGGAGGAATTGGGAGTATTTATCTTGATTCTTGATTCCAATTTAAGGTTTTTTGCACGCCTATGTACATTTTAAATTTGATGTAGCATTGTTGTGGAAACTGGTAAGATCTAAAAAGCAAGGTTGGCTTTGATGACCATCATTGGGAAACCAATTTTTTGAATTACAGAAAATGTTTTTATGGATTTGCTTGGTGTACTTTTACTTTGTTATTGTTTTTCTCTCGATGAGAATTGTAATGGGCTTAATTTCCTTTTTCCCTTCCTACCCCCACATATGGATAAGTTCTTTTCAATGCATTAATAGTGCATATGGTGGCACCATGGAATGTGTTTAGATTATGATGGTTTTAACTTCTATTCGAGGTTATCCACATCTTTAGTGAAACTGAAGAGGAATGGAAGGTTGAAATGGCTTGTCATTCCTCGTCTAGCCATTGATTTTTCTAAAATAATTTTAAAGCAAGCAGTATTTCTGCTTCGGTGATGTTAAATACTTATCATTTGAGATTAACTGTATATATTGCCTTCCAAGAATACTCGTTGCAGTTTTCCATTTGTGTCGGTATTATGTCATTTCTTGGGTTTTCCTCATCTGTTTCATACTTCATAGCAAATTCCTATGTTCTGATCCCCTTCTGCTCTTCTTTTATAATTTTCTTCTTATTTTTAGAAATATTGAATCAACATCTCTGATTTCTGATTACAAGTTAAAGGGCTTGCCTTGAATCTGATGTTCAAGTTTTGCGTTGGTCTATATTGTTGCTTATTGTACATTAGTGACAGGTAATACTGATTTTTGGGTCACTTTGCTAGATGAACGCCAGGTAAATTCCTCTAGTTGAGATATGTAAGATTTGAGTATCAGAATAAGTTCCACTGACTTTCAATATATATATATATATATATATATAGTGGAATGGATAATGCAATTTATGCAAGGAAAGGAATACCACCAGTAAATTATTGTTCCATTGAGCAATAGGAACTACATTCAGATGTAGAAAATGAGAATCATAGAAATCCCGGTCTTCTTAGCGGCAGCAAAAATCAAACAGACAGCAGCAGCACAAAGCAGCAAAACTGGAGAAGAAAACAAATAAGGTATATCATCATTCATCAGCTAAAGAAAATCAGAAACAGAAAGAGAATTTGAGAAGGGAGGAAACACACCATCCCTTCCAAAAGTTGTCACCCTTGCTTTGGATGTGGACATTTTGGGGGTAACCAGAGCTTGAAGTGTCCCTGGTAGCATAGCCAACTGGCGGTGGTGCCAAAATACAAGGACCATTAGGGTTGGCCTACAAACATGCAGGCACAGCTCCTGGAGGACAAACTACTGAAAATCTCAAAGCAATCATGAAATGAAACCTGACAACTTTTTTGGCTTCAAATTAGGAGGTGCGGGAAAATTGGAAGATAAATATTGTGCTCAATTGTGAAAGCAATTGATCTATAAAAGAAAACAGTGTTATCCGAGACATCTTGTTTATCATAGTATGCCATGATTAACAGAGCATGGAGATGATAAACAGGACACTGAATGAGAAAGTGCTGAGGGTTTAACATGATGGGTATTTGTGGAGGGTTTTAGTTCAATGGCGAGGTTTAGAGGCCGGCAGAACTTTGTGGGTGGAAAAAATTCATTTACGATGAGAAGAGAAGCCGTTAGCGACAAAGGAAATGAGTCTGAGTGGGGATCATAGCAGAGGAATATTACCGATTCAATTTACACAAGCAAACTTTGAGATGCAACACTCCAAAAACATTGTAGGCATAAGAGTTTTAAAAATCTTTTAATTTAAATTATTGACGTAACGTATAATTCAAACTTAAAGATTCAAAATAAATTATCACTTATACAATCCTTTAGCTTTTTACTGCTGAGCAGCTTGGGTGCCCTCATAGGTACAATTTTCTTATTAACCAAATAGTCAAATTTTCTTTTTCTTTCTAAGCAGAGATGTAAAGCAACATATAGCATGCATATTTTTGTCAATAATATAAATGGTCCATTAGTTATTTTTTTAGTAAAAGTAAAATATGTTAAATTTGAATTTAAATAGTATAACATGTAGTAGGATTAATGAATAAGGAATAATCTTGCATTCTCTCGTGTGGCTATAGTGACGGTCAAACTTCTCCAAAGTGAGAAGTAGGTGGAACGCACTTCAATCCGCAAATCGAGTCCTAGGCTTGACTTTCCTCAAACAGATATTAACTTAACATTATTTCTTCCTATCAAAAAAAAAAAAAAATGAATAAGGAATAATCTTATGTTATGTGATCTAAAATCAAAAGTAAAAATACATGTTTTGTAAGCATCTTGAGCATAAGGAAAGTTCATTAGTAGAGATGTAAAAGATTAAGTAGCAGAATATGTAAGTTCCTCTGATTTTCTAAAAAGTAGTAGTGGAAGGGATAATACAATTTGTTCCTTGGGGGTTGAAGCTAGGCATGCCAATCTCTTGCCCCCTTAACTCTTAGAAAACAGGTCAGTCTCAATTAATCTTTCCCTTGTTTAATTTTTTGGGTTTATTGTTTCTGTATCTGAAGTCAATGTGAGGGTGTGATTTTGCATTGAAATATTGAACCCCGTTGAAGCAAACCCAGAATTCTACACATTATTTATAATTACAAACAAGTAATCCTTGTCATTGAGATACAATTTGTGCAAGGGATACTGGAAGCAAATTATAATCTCTCATGGGACAAAAGGAACTAGTGAAACCCTTCCTTGTTTGCAGCATTAACCAAACAGAGACAGCTGCAGCACAAGACAGCAAAACTGAAGGTAACAAATATCATCAATCAGCTAAATGAAATCAGAAACATCTAGACAGATAGTGAACCCTTCCCTTTTAGCAGCATTAATCATAAAGACGATAGCAGCACAAGACAGAAAAGTTGAAGAGAAGATAGCAAAAAGGTATATATACCATCAATCAGCTAAGCAAAATTATATATTAATCAGAAACATTAGAAAACTTGAGAGGGAGCTTTAGGGAACTCACCTTTCCTTCCAAAACTCATCACCCTTTGTATGGGTGACATTTTGAGGGTAACAAGAGTTGGACACACAGCCGGAGGTGGCCTTGGCAGTTTTGGCAAAACATGACAGACCTTTAGAGTCGGTCTACACATATACTAGAAATCACAAAATAGTCCCAAAATGAAACTTTGACCCATTTGTGCTTCAAAGTAGAAAGCTTTGGAATATTGGGAAGATAAATGGAAACTGATTTGTGTATAAAAGGAAACATTGTCACCGAACACATCTTCTTGATTATAGTGCAGCATGAATTTTTTTTTTTTTTTTGGTCAAGGGCAATTTTTGGGGATAAGGGGATGGAAGCCAGCCCATGGACTGGATAATACACACCATTACCAAACGGTCTACAAAATCAGGTGTGTATAGTGCAGCATGATTAACAAAGCATGGAGATTTCTGAAAGCGCAGGGTTTAAAAAGGCATGATGGGTATTTGTAGGGAGGGTATAGTTCAATGGCAAGGTGAACTAGGGAGGCCAAGTGCCAAAAAAAAAAAAAAATTCATCGACCATGAGAAGTGGAAACGAATATTAATTTGTGTGAGAATGGGGTCATAGTGCCAATTCAGTTCAGACAATGCTAATTTGAGCTGCAACAATCAAAATTTTACCACCAACGAACTTTAATTGAAAAAAAAAAAAAAACTTGTGGATCAAACATAGAAGGAAAAAGTATTATACAATCTAAACTATGCTAAACTACATAACATTAACTATTAGATATGGGGTAAGTTTCCTTGATATTAAGAATTCTCTCCCTGTCTAATAACTCATATTTTACAATTTAATGTAGTTTAAATAATAAATTAAAAGAGTTGACATCAAAGCCTAGCTGATCCTCTGCCCTATATTTGTGCCACTAGTTCCAATATACAAACAATGGGCCACATTTTATCTATTTGGATGAGTTAATGTAATGGGCCAAAACCTGACATCTTCAAGTATTTCATATATCCAAACGGACCAAAACCTAAGTCCCAAAAACAACCTACCTTGCAAAGGGAGACAAAAAAGAGGGGGAAATGTAGAAATCAACTGATATAAGTGCATGAGGAAGAAAAAAAAGGACAAAGAATTAAAAGTGGTTATAGTGGTTGCATTTTTTTTTTCTTTTTGGCCATAATAGTGGTTGCATTGTTAAAAGCAAGACATGGCTGGTAGAGGGAGTGGTAGTTGCAGCAAACAATATTATGAGGTCAGTTTAGTGAAGAAACATAATATGGAAATTTCTGAAAGCATCTCTATGTTTATTTGTAGTACAGTTTGTCCAAAAATATTGTGCTCTCCAAAAATGCAGAGGTCCAATTCATTACCATCATCATAACTGTTCCTCCCAGTTGCAGATTATTTTGGTAAAGTTTTGAATGTGACACAACTGAACTGTCCTAATTAATGAAACTGGGACACTGTGTAAGAGCTCATATGCTAATGCACATGGAGACATGAAAGTCTGGAAAAATCAAGCTATGAGAAAATAATGAAACAAAAAAACAAAAGACATTGAAAAAAGTGTCAGTGTTCATTGGAATGAAAGAGAGAGGTTTTTTGGGTGTATTATTGACAATTTAGTATTTGAAGTCAGCTTCCACATAATTTAATTTTTTTTTTTAAAAATAAATCATTTACGACAATAAAGAAATTATTTGCAAGATTTATATCCTTGTGGTCTCTAAAAGTTAACAAGGTAGAAAACAAATCTCGTTTTCAAACATGCCAATCTTTGGAGATTGAAGAGAGCAATCTTTTTCCCTAGGAATGATGACTTATCAAATCTAGAGCATTTCTCTTGAAATTTTCCAAGTCTTTTTCCTTCGCATAATTCATGCAAAGTTTGACAGTGAAGCCACCTTTGCTTTGTGTTGTACCCACCAAGGAGATGTCTACATTTCTCTACCTTTCTTCAATAATCAATCACTAAAGAAGATATTTCTTTTTGTTTTTCCTTTTTTTGAGGGAGATGAAAGAATAGTTAACGGTCCTTTCGGGCAAGGAAAAAGAGAGCAGCATCATATACCTTTAGCTTTTTACTGCTGGGCAGCTTGGGGGCCCTCATTGATGCAATTTTTTCACTAAACCAAACAGTCAAATTTTCTTTTTCTTTCTAGGCAGAGATGTAAAGCAACATATAACATGCATGTTTTCTAAGCATTCCCTAGCACAAGTAAGGTATGTTTCCCATACAAGAAATGATGATAGCTCAGCAGAACCCTCCTAGCATCAACAATTCAGTATATGTGATCACAACCAACTATGAAAGACTCCCAAAAATTAAGAAAATATAATTTCTCCCATTTTCTTTTCTTTCTTTAATTTTTGCCTTTCTCATGACCTCTCTGCATGCCCTATTACTAAGATATATAAGACTTGATTCCCGAAATCATTACACTGAGTATGACTATGAAAATTCATAATATTAAATTAAAATTTTTTAATGGATAATTAATTGTTTCCTCGTTATAAAAGGAGGAAGAGCAAACTCCACGACTTATTCGAAGTTAGGTCGACTTTTATTATCTTTTGTGAAGGTGATGAAAGAGATGAGATTCCCAAAAGGAAAAATAATGTAATAGTGATGTTGAGATTCTCATTGTGTGAGATCTAGTAAAAGGGGGTTGGGAATATCACATGAACAATATTAGAATACCTATAACTTTAAGTTGAATGGAAGAAAGAGGAGACAAAGGAAACCTCCACACACTAAGTCAAGATGCAATACATTTGCCCTTAAAAGAGGGGAAGCACAAACACACATGATACCCCTTTCATATATATCTTTATTATAAAACTTTAGTTCCCTTTTTCTTCTTTTTAAATCCAACATTAATGATATGATCCTAACCTATCATGACAACATGCAATGAACAATCTCTATATAAAAACAGTTCAATTTTCTCTTTTTACAATACATTAAGTAATCCTCCCCTCCCTCCCCCCAAAAAAAGTATAATAATGTTGCAAAGGGTTAATTCCCATTGTTTTTACCATCCCCCCCTTTCTTGGCTTCTTTTTAAGATCTGATGGTTGTTAAGCAGAGAGTGAAGTACAATAATAGAACTATATATATATATAAATAGTATCCATCTATCTTATTTTTTAAAAATTAAAAGAATAATTACTCTAAAATTATGTTATTTTAATAAATTTGTATTAAAAAAATTTAAAAAACCTTATTTTTAAAACATGAGTTAGATTTTTTTATTTTTTTATTGTATTTTATTGAAATAATATAATTTTAAGAAAAATATTTTCTTAATTTTTTAAAAATAAAACGGATAAATACTAATTTATATATATATATATATATATATGATAGAAGTATTTGATTGGCTCACGTAAGGTTATACTCTTAAAATTGTTTAAAAATATGGTACAAATAAGATGACATCAGTACATACTAACCATTAAAAAAAATAGAAAAAGGGATGAAGAAATTAGAAAGAAATCCTTCCATCTACTTTTCATCTAATTTCCCTTTATGATGGATGGTTCTCTTTTTTCTTTTTTCTTTTTTTTAAGCCATAAAACTTATTCCATTGGGTAAAAGAGATATCTCAACCCATATGCATGCCTCTACTTATAACTTGTCAACATTAATTGCGATCTCACATCACCCAAAAGAAAGAAAACCCCCAGCAAATACCAGACTTAAAACTGAATCAGTGTTCTCCTCCCTTCGTGATGGATGGTTCATGAAGTTTTTCAACTATGTATATTCTTAATTAAGAATCATTTGTGATATATTAATTAAGTCAATTGCGCGCCTTTCAACAACAAAAGTTATAGTAACATACAACTAGTGTTGCTCTGAACCCTTAATAATCTATGGGTATTTAAGTAAGTTAAAGCACTATCTTGATGTCTGTATGGTATGCTCCATGCCGGTGATTAATTATCTTATAAACTATTTATTAATTTTGATAATCCTAGGCATGTGAGAACAAGATTTGGTACGTAGTACATATAAGATTATTAATTTGATCAATTCAAACGTTAATGGAGACTCAATTAACTTTGAAAGCTTTTAATTAGTACTAGTTGGTAAATTCATTAATTGAGGATAGTTGTGTGCTAATGAAACGAACAGATCTGTTTGTCGTTTTGTCTCCTTAATTGAAGCTAAAGGTCGAGGAATCCCATATGGAAAAGGTTAAAAATATGGGATGAAGCAGGCTCAGAAAATATTGCTTTCAAGTTAGGACAGGTTGCCTTGGAAGAATCAATCCTATATGTGACTATATGCAAGATATTTTTTTTTTCTTAGAAAAAAATTGTTTGGGTTAATTTTTTTTAAAGGAATGATATTGTGGTCAATTTTGTTTATAGAAGGAAATATCTTTCACATATCTTAATTTATTTTTGATAATATATAAGATATATAATGTAAATGTAACTTTCACTCGTTCATTTGATCTTATTGTATTTAATGAAAATTTTAAATTTAAGTTATAATGACATTTAGTTATGTTAAAAATAAGAAGATTTGATAACTCAATAACTTAGTAATATTTTGTATTTTATAAAAATTAAATGTTTAAAATCGAATTACATGAAATGAAATATAAATATAAATAATTAGAGAATATTATTTACACCGTGAAACACAAAATTTTGAAGTCCTTAAAACTTTTACTATTAATTAAATTTATGTATTGCTTACCGATCTTTTTTCTTTTCTTTAAATATTCTTT